TCGTTAAAGTGCGTGGGTGAACTAAATGTGTAGGTGTACATAAATTGAAATTGGCTTTTTCTTGCCAAAAAGAATTTTCTTCAAGTATTTTCTTGAATATATTCACACTTTCCTCAAGTATTTTCTGAATACATTATCATGCTCTTCGAATATTTTCTTTCTCATGTTGAAGTATGAAATGTGAAGTATTTTCTTCAATATATTGAAGTATGGTCTATGAAGCATTTCCTTTAATATATTGAAGTATGGAAAATGAAATATTTTCTTCGATATATTGAACCATTTTCTTCAATGTATAAAAACTACCTAAAAGCTGTGCAATGTAATCTACTGTAAAAGCTGTGCAATTGACACGTATACGTATGACACGTACACACACACACACACGTATGTGAGTATTAATGAACAATCGCCAAGTATAATTATTTTGATCGATCAGTGTAGTCAATAGAATTTGTTTTCTTTGCAAATGAAGAATATGTAATTTTGGCTGCCTGCCATTCGAGTATGCAATATTATATAATTGCACTCTCAATATAACATATGTATATAATATTTATAAATATTAATATAAATATTATAGTATGAATATTTTATATCACTACATTGTAGACAGTATTACGTCAATAATACTATATTAATATTATTTATAACACTAGTATAAAATGATAGTGTTGTGCCATATTTTGTGTTATACAATATTACACAATATTTCACTATATCAGAATATTCCACATATACTATTTAAACAAAATAAAATATTGTATATACAGAAACATTATATTCTTGATACGTCAATGAAGTTTCGCAACTTCTTTCTTATTTTGTATTTTTTAACAATTTTCATACGTGATGCATGTTTGTTTCAACACAATTTAAGCATGTACATATAATACACGTTTGTGTAATACAAGTTTATTCGAACATAACATATGTATACCATAAAGTGATTTGAAAAGAAAGTAAACATATTTGTTTGAACACATATTTTATTTATTTGAATGTATACAGTATTTTATACGAATGCAATTTGAACATACACAGCACAAAATACAGTCTGAATATAAATAGCACGAATTTTGATACAACTTAAGCGTACATAACAAGAATTCATTTAAAAGTATTAAAAAGTATTAAAAGTATAAAAAAAAACTAAAAAGTATTATTAATCCTCTATAATTACAAATATATGAAGAGTGTCCAAAACGGTCTATCATTTACTTAATACACAATCGAATCAATTATGTGACGTGTATACATCCCTGCAGCGTCCTCCTATGTTTACTGTACCTGGAGGACAGTGTTTTGGTATTGTAGTGATATACCTTAAGGCAATATCATTAGCCTCTCTGAGATCTAACGATCGACGATTTCTACCATCGACGATGATCGAAAGTTGCATTATAAGTAGAACGAGAAGAAGATTTGTCAAAAATAATATGCTGGTTGATCTCTTCATGATGATGCGGTGACTGATACGTCAAATTTGGATAACTCAGTTTTGATTGAAATAAAAGATGTGGATATTGTTGCTAATAAGTTGTCGATGTGTCCAACTTGATAAATAAAAAATGTTTAAGGGGGTTTCCGATCCAAGGTTTTATTCTGTGAATAAGTAAGTGAACTTTATTATTATTTTGGGGGAATGTCAGGGCATATGTGGGCTACATGAGTAAGTTTGGTTTTGGAATTTTTGTATTTGGAGATATAGTTGTACACATATTTGAATTTTCATGATTTTCAAATTTTCAATTTTTCAAATTCTCAAATGCCAAAGTTCTCAAATTCCAAAGTTCTCAAATTCCAAAATTCTCAAATTCCAAAATTCTCAAATTCCAAAATTCTCAAATTCCAAAATTCTCAAATTCGCAAATTCCAAAATTTTCAAATTCCAAAACCTTCAAATTCCAAAATTCTCAAATGCCACAATTCTCAAATTCCAAAGTTCTCAAATTCCAAAATTCTCAAATTCCAAAACCTTCAAATTCCAAAATTCTCAAATGCCACAATTCTCAAATTCCAAAATTCTCAAATGCCAAAATTCTCAAATTTCAAAACCTTCAAATTCCAAAAATCTGAAATTTCCAACTTCTCTCTTTCTAAACTTCTCACATTCTCACCTTCTCACCTTCTCAAATTCTCAATTCTCTAACCATACGAAATTTTAAATTTCCCATTTCTCAAATCCGTAAATTCTTAGATTTCCATCTTTGTACATTTCTAAACATAAAATCACTTTAACACTTTATCTCCCCCATCACTGCTCTAGCATCATCATACATATCTCAACGAACGTCAATCAATATAATTGACTAAATAAAAAACAGTATAAAATACCTAGTCTACCTAGAATCAATTCAAAGAACAACCTTTCAGACATCAGTTTCGCAGACCCAACACTATACTAATTTGTATTCAAACTACAGTACTCAGATTTATATAGTTCTCTGCAACCTTGTAACTAACCCCTACTTTTTTAGCATGTCATAGATAACCACTGTATAATACGCTTCTCGATAAAAATAATAAGTGTCATTCTTAATTACACTAATAAACATTCTTTCTGTGATTCATACCGATTCACGAATTCGTGATGTTCCTCACATTTTATGAGAATTCGGTTAAAAACGATAAAATACATGAGACTCTTATATTTCAAAAACATCAATAAAATTCCGCAAGTTTCTTATTATATTTTATTCCAACACATTTATCATTTTCTTATTTTTAAGAAATAATTATCACATTTCATTGAAAGACATTTTAGGTTATTAAGGTTATTTATTTAGGTTAAATATAAAATTTAAAATCGTAAAAGCTGAAAGTTGCATATAATTAATTGAGTTATAACAGCTTCTAGTGCTGAATTTTCATTTCCATGAAATTAACAAAAATAAATATATGTATTGAGAAATCGATTATCAATTTCGTGCGTCGATCGATTACTTATAAAATATCGCTCGATGTTGACCTTCGTGTGTCAAAAATAAAATCAATTTAAAATATTTCTCCATTTCCATTTCCTGATACAAATTTTTCAATAATTGAAAATTTTTATTTTCACGAGTATAAAAATATAGTGGGTTATTTAAAAATGCTTTGTCAATATTCATAAATCAAGTTTAATTAACAAATTTCAAAGAGGACCTTCCAACACGTTTTCCTTAAATAATAAATTCATTTAGTCTCTTTAAAATTACTGCGTTTTTATTTCATTTTAAACATAATAACCTCCCCATGTTCCATCAGTTAGGTTACTTAGTGGCAAACTATCGAATTATCAAGCCATTTTTTCGGATAAGTCCATTCATAATTGACGAGAACGAGGTTCAATCCTCAGAGCTTCCGGCAGCTGAATAGGCAATGCCATCCTCTCCTCGATTTCCGACTCTCCCTCGACAGTATCAAAAAATTGCATCACAAAAAGAACATTAATCAAGTACAACATACTCAATAAGATCTTCATACTGATTTAATATCAACTTCGAACCACTTTAAACAGATGTCCATCCGTTGAATACAAATTTTAACTACCTCTTCCTCAAAGCATGTAAGTTTTATAAGCAGTTTCCTGTCGCCATAAATCTACCTTCCCACCTCGTACATTTTTATTTTATTTTTAACTTATGAGGATGAGGATAATAAACTTGATAAAAGGAACGACTGTCATCGTCACGCGTTATTTTCATGATCCATGTCGATTAGAATCGGACTCGTGAATATCGTTTCTCACGAATAGTTTTACGAGGTTTCGCGAGACACATTTCGCTGGTTTTATTACCCTGGTGAATAGGTTTGTTTGGTGAGAGGGTTGCAAGATAGGGGGATATTTATTCACGAGTTCGAGACATTTATCGCATGCGTGATAAGGAACGTGGAGGAAAGTTGAAGGTTAAAACTTTATGGATTTAGTTGACAGATGTTATAAGAACGCGGGGAAAAGTTAGAGGTTAAAAGTTTATGGGTTATTTAGTTGACGTTATAGATAGGCAGATACCTCGGGAGGAGACTTCCTTTAATATTAATCCGGCTTATAAAGATTGCTGAGCTTAACAATAAAAGCACACAATGCTCACTTACCTCGGAATTAAAAATGAAGTTGAAAGTTATTAAATAATTGTGCAAAGAAATTCTTCAAAATCTATAAATAGAAGAATTTTATTTTTGATACTAAATGTGTTGTGAATAATGTTTGAACAGAAATACAATTTTCAGAAAGTTATTTTAATAAATTGTATCCTTTAATTGTAATTATAAATTGAATTGTAATTTGGTTGAATGAAAGATATGACTGAAAGTTATAAATTATAATGTGAGTTATTATAATTGATTGATTATATTAGGTCAATTGTTATGATCGCTCTAATTGAATTAGTTTTTAATCATGTTATAATTTACAGAATAATTTAATTCTAATTCTGCAAAATTCTGAACTTATTGAAATAGCAGCTCTTCAAAATTATCACATTTTTTTTTATTTATTATTAGTATTATGTACGAATATTTATCTTTTATATACAAGGTCATTAACCTTTTAACAATATTTAACAATAATTTACCAATAGCATAATTATTGTAAAAATTTATTTAAATGCAAAAATCAATTTTGCAGTCAAAATTTTTTAATAAATTTGAAGATGTATATAAATGATATAATTTGTTTTAATTTAAAGAAATATATCATATTGAATAATCAGTCTTTTAGTAATGATATAAAAAAATGATACAATTTTATTTTTAAAAAGCATCATTGCACATAAAGGAAAATTACTGTAAAATCATGGTGACATTTATTAACAAATGATAAAGATACCTCGAATTTCAAGATAAGTTTGGGAATCGAAAGTCGACAAACGTCATGGTAACTCGACAGTGATGTCACCGATCATATCGATAAGTAAATAACTTTCGTAACATGAGTCAGAAACGAAGACTTCGCGTGTTCTTTGTAAAATAATTTATTTAAAAAAGAGAAACAGTTTCTTACAAAATAGAGTTTTACAAAAATTGTTCGAAATGAAAGTTTATTCATGACGTCATCCGTGTGATCAAATATAGATGTTCTTTGGCTCATTATTTTAGTTACCTGAAAAGAAATAAAAACATGATAGAAACATGTTGCAAAATTGCAATAGAAACGTTAAATAAAATAACCTGATTTGATTATCAATATATGTTTTGTTCATAAAAAAATAAAATATTTGTAAACATTTGTTTGGTGCACGTTGCTTTATCAGTAATAATAACTAAATTATTTAAGTGACTGAATTACATTTCATTTTTCAGTTATGAGTCATATCAGTGTTTACAACTGCATAACGGACGCAGTTAAACGAATTTTATTTACGCGTGCAGATATTAATTTATCTATTGAAGTAATTAAATCACTCTTAATGAATTGTTTCGATTACAAATGTGTAACGTGGATTTTATCGAAACAGACAATTCTTCCAGAGACAATATTGATGTAATAAATAATCAGGAGACAGTCATGATGAAACGTAAACACACTTTAAATATTAATGTTAAATATAAAAACAGTACAAACACAAAATTATTATAAAATTATTTGACAAGTTACAGAAATAAAATTAGGAATTAAGAATTAAAAGCTAACTTTGAGGTTAGAACAGTAAATTAACTGTTTTGAGATTAAGTAAAAAATCATGAAATGTAGTGAATTCTAGTAATCTAATCAACTTGTTATTTAACTCTAGCATTTTTGTAGTCGAAACGTACATTTATAATTGTAAATCTGACATTGAGACAAAAAGTGAATTTCTGGAGTTGTCGCACTCTAAACCTTTAACTTTTTTGCCCATAACATCGAGTCAGACTCGACGCATATTACAATTCAAATGTGACAAAAAATCATATTTACATAAAAATCGAATTTTGAGTATAATAGCAATTTGTACAATTAAAGATCGCTAGATGCAAAAACCTAACATTCTTTATTTACCTCAACACTGCAGTAATAATTGACGCGCTCGCCTGAAAACTTGTAGACTAAAGGTTTAATCTACGTGTCAAAAGTGATCAAATAATCACTCAGCTACATGAGTTCCCTAAAAATAACATAACAAGTATTCACATACCGAAAGCTCAGTCTTCGTACCAAAACTGGACAGCTTTTCTGCACTGTTTCCTATAATCCAACTGATAACCCTGCGGACATTGCCTGCCAGGTATCTCAAAGATGGTCCTAGAACCGAGTCCACCTTTAGGCTTTTTAGTAGTCTGCTCCTGAGGTTTATCACTGGTAGCACTGATTCCATCATGCGATTTCGACTGATCGTTTTCGTAATTGTCGGAAAATCTGTACTCCACTATCCAATCTCCCGTTCGGGACACGTGTCCTTTTATCAATTGCATCTCGATCCTGGGTGGTTCTGGTTTGCGTGGAATAATCCTGTAGCTGTCTGGCACACGACCCGCCAAATGATCTTCGGATGGTTCTGCGCCTTCCATCTTCGGTGACAATTCACGAGGAGCAGTTATCACGCTATTAGGATCTCCTATTCTGTATTCGATGCTGGAGGATAACGTCTTTCGAGGAACGGTCTCCAGGTTTGGAGAAACGATAGGATCCGAAACTTGACCGTCGAATTTTGAAGATCGATGTGTTCTACACTGCACACTGAGTGTGAGGTGCAAGATGACCAGAGAGAAGAATACGGTGGTCAGATTTGGCATTTTGAAGGATGTCTTCATGGTTGGTGTGCGAGTGACGCGATTTGATGCTGGCTCGATGGAGTTAATTCTGTGAATGAAGGAGTAAATATTGTTACTTTTCGGGAATTTTTGGATGTATCGTAGATATATACATGGTAGATGTATATTATGTGTACGGTATTGGGTATGAGTTATAGCGCTGATAGTATCGTGTACTCGCGACTTTTTGCACCTGGTTGAAGGTGCACCTGGTTTTAGTTTATGAGAGGGGTTAGAGGGGACGAGATGCGTACTTTTTTCATTGACAAATTCGGGAATTTCCAAATTTTGATATTATGGAATTTTTCAAACTTCTGTTGAAATTTCTAATTTTCTAGTTTTCTAATTTTCTAATTTTCTAATTTTCTAATTTTTTTTTAATTTTCTAATTTTCTAATATTCCCAATTTTCCCATTTTCCAAGCTTCCAATTTCCAATTTCTAATTTTCCTATTTTTGCAATTTTGAAATTTTCTAATTTTCCAGGCTTCCAATTTCCAATTTCTAATTTTCCTATTTTTCCAATTTTGCAATTTTCTAATTTTCCAAGCTTCCAATTTCTAATTTTCCTATTTTTCCTACTTTTGCAATTTTCTAATTTTCCAAGCCTCCAATTTCCAATTTCTAATTTTCCTATTTTTTCAATTTTGCAATTTTCCAATTTGCCAAGCTCCCAATTTCCAATTTCTAATTTTCCTTTTTTCCATTTCCCAATTTGTTCATTCTTAAATTTTTCAATTTTCTAACTTCCTATTTCACAGTTTTTCTAATTATTTGCTTTTGTATTTCCTAATTTTCTACTTTTCTAACACTCTACTTCTCTTTTCTACTTAATTTCTAATTATCAAATCTACAACTTCTTAAATTTGACAATTACAAAATTTGAAAACTTACAAATTTCAAGTTACAGAAATTTTAGACATTCGAATAAAAAAAATAAACTTCTCATCAGTACCCACGAGCGGCTTCTGTGTCTCAATTATTCATCACTATTGTACAACCATCAAAGTGTTAATGAAAACGAAACTTATTCACTAGCACTCACAATTGTGTCTCACGATTATTCTGAATAATGCTGAACTTTTCACACGACTATTCCTTACGTAACTTTCATTTATAAAAATATTTAAAAAATTAAAAAATTTCCAGCTTCACATTTATCAAACATGAAAATTCTAGCTGTAATCTTATACATGTCAACCTTATACAGTTTTCACTAACGTAGGGTTTCAAGAGTTATAAATTTTACAAAATGTGATTTTATAAAATATCGATATGGAAAGTAGACTAACCATAAACTAAAGATTGTCTTGCAGAGAGTAAGTTCACTGATAGATCTCCACTGAATGACTGTTGTCCACAATCAGTTTCGCGTGTATAAACGAAACACGTATCCGGCTGTTAACCACAGTCCTCTTCCTCGAACCAGATTACACTTATAAGCAATTTTATTTCACCTTGTAACTGATTTCCCACTTCTTCCATATTCTCGGTTTTTAATTCGACAAGGATGAACGCTGCGCGTTGATAAACGATTCGATAAAAAGAGTGACCGTCGCTGTTGATAAGCGTTCTTTCCACGATCAAACATGATTAAAATATTACACGTGAATACATGGATGACGTCAGTGTAAGGGGATGATGCATTCGCAAGTGGGAAATTTTCGAATTGTCACGTTTGTAAACTAGTGATCATAGAAATGTATAAATTTGCAATTCTTTCATATTTTAGTATTTCAATTTTTAGATTTTACAGTTCTCTGGTTGTCAAGTTTTTGATTTAGAAAGTTTTGAGTTTTTAGGGTTTATGTTTTTGAGTTTTAAATTTCAGGATTCTAGTTTCAAATTTTCAAGTTTCAAGTTTTCAGATTTTTAGTTTTCACGTTTTCAAGTTTTCAAATATTCAAGTATTCAAATATTCCAGTGTTCAAGTATTCACATACTCAAGTATTCAAGTACTCAAATATTCCAGTGTTCAAGTATTCACATACTCAAGTATTCAAGTATGCGAGTATTCGAGTATTCAAGAATTCAAGTTTTCAAGTTTTTCAGTGTTCAAGTATTCACGTACTCAAGTATTCAAGTATTCGAGTATTCGAGTATTCGAGTATTCGAGAATTCAAGTATTCAAGTATTCAAATATTCAAGTATTCACGTATTCGCGTACTCAAGTATTCAAGTATTCAAGTTTTCCAGTGTTCAAGTATTCACATACTCAAGTATTTAAGTATTCGAGTATTCGAGTATTCGATTATTCAAGAATTCAAGTATTCTAGTTTCATGTATTCACGTACTCAAGTATTCAAGTATTTACATACTCAAGTATTCTGGTATTCGAGTATTCAAATATTCAAATATTCAAATATTTCTGCATTCAAGTATTCAAGTATTCAAGTTTTCAAATTATCCAATTTTTAAGTTCGCTAATTTTCTGTTTTTCGACTACGCAGAAATAAATTTTTCAACTTAAATTTTCCATTTCTCATTTTTTCAAGATTTCAATTTTTCATTTCTTTAAGATTCTTTTTAAAGAATTACATCTGACCTTCTCAAATGTTCATGTATTCGTATTTGTACATGTTTTTCTTTCACTTCCTCAAATTTTCAAAATTTTTAATTTTCTATTTTACACACTTAAAAATCATCAAGTTAAGAGTTGGAAAATTTTCAAAATTAAAATTTGTAATTTTCACTCTGTAATTGTAGAAAACTCTCTATTGATATTGCATATCTTTACGGCCCCTAATAACCATTTTTACACTTGGTTACAATACAACAATCTTTGACATTTCTAAATTTTTAATCTTAAATTTTTACAATTTTTATATTTCCATATTTCTCAACATCTAAATTTAAAATTCGGTAAATTAAAAAATCTGCCACTTCAAAATTCGCACATTTCCAAATATCTAACTACTTAAACTTCTTCAAGACTTCTGTGTCGTACGATAATGATCCCATCAAATGCGCATTATAATCAAAATAATCGATGAATCCATTAAGTACAAGATTGTATCAATATATCATCAAGAGATAAGACTGTTGTTCACCAAATAGTACTATCGGCTGTTGAAGTTATGGATGAGTAAAAGGAATGTAAAGGACAAATAAATTACAGTTGAACAAACAATTCCAACATAAAAAAATATAGATCGGATAAGAAATGCAAGACTATAAAAGTTGTATATTTTTACCTACTTTTCTCGAAGGTTTATTTATACTGCAATTTGTTATTGCTCGACAAACTTTTACAATAACGTTTTATACATGTTTTCAAATTATATATGTTTTCATCTCTTTATGGACGATACTTTAAAAAGCCACTTAAATATAATCATTTCATTATGTATAATATTTATCAGATATTATTCAAGTCGTTTGATAAAAATTTATCTTCTTTTACATCGTTTTTATATTGTTGAGTAAGATGTTATGAAAAATGTTATTTTTAAATGGTCAAATTATCGAACCTAACCTAACATTTCAGTATGTACTTTACAAGTTTTTATTGTAAAAACAAATCAATATTTAAATTCTTTCGCATAATTCTTTATATACGAATTTATGTAAGAACTAAAATTTTACTAAAATTACTAACAAAGTAAATGACAACAAAACTTTTTGCCCCAGCAGCACAATAATCGTTAATTAGTTCAATCAAAGTTTCGTTAATCACCTTATAGTGATTCATCGAAACTCGCAAACTAACAAGTCCTATTATTGCAGGGGGTGTCGAGAAAACCCAATATGGCCAACTACCGGAGCAGATACTCAGCAAACACGGTTTCAAGGGATGTCTCGCCTCGCTGGATCTCAGCGGCGAAAGCATCAACCTGATTTCCGATGCTGTTGTTCCGAGTTCCTTAGTAGAACATGGCTGCAATATGTTCACCAGCCTTCACCTTGGGAAAAAATGCACACACGATTTGTGCGCGAACCATGGCACATGTGTGCAACAGCGGAACAGTTACACGTGCGATTGCGACATGACCAGTTTCATCGGGCCAACTTGCAACGAAGGTAAATATTTCTGATTTAGCGAGTAAATAAGGGTAGCCCCTTCCTAACCCCGTAAGGAATAATTGAGATATAAGGAGAAGTTTTGAAAATTACGAATTTTTAAATTCTCAAATTATATGTTTGAAAATATTCAATTTTTAGTATTTTCAATTTTGAAGTCTCTAACTTGCAAATACTTAATTTACAAATGAATAAACTACCAAATCATTAACCCCTCCCCATGCTATTTATTTAACAGATGCATTAGTCAAGACTTTTCAGGACTATAACATTAAAACGAACAAAGAAAATTAAAATGTTCTGTATATTTTATATTAAGGGATCCTTGATAATGTAACTCATAGTTGGACCTAAATTTCAAGTTGAAGAGTATTCAAAATTTGAGTAAGGTTTGTCATATTTGAGCTGTAAGTGCGTCACGTGAGAGACTCGTCGAAGTACGGGAAGGAGTTAAGGGATGACAAGAATATTGTAGAAACTTTTGACTGAATAGACATTAATTAACAGAGGAATATTTTTAACATTTAATTACATTTCAAAGGAAATTACACGAGTTCTTATCATTTCAAGGATGACATAAAAGTGACTGAAAATTAAACGAACGTTCAATTATGCGTTTTTCAGCGAAAATATGATATCACTTACAACCCCCACTCCGTACATACTTCAAGGAATGACTATAATCATTAATGGGTCACACAACAATACGGAACTAATGCCTACAATATATTAGGGGTACGAAAAGTAATCAAAATTTCGTTTGCTTTCGAAAAACATTTATTTATTAAAGAAATCTTACATACTAATCAACAAAATAATTTCCATCATTTTCTAACGCTTTTTCTTAGAGTAAAGGCAATTGTTTGATTCCCTTTTCAAAAAAGGCCTTCGAATTTTCATTGAAAAACTTTGAAGTCATTGAAGAAATGAATACTTCTCGATCCCCCTAATATTTTCGATAAAACAAGAACTCAAATACCAAAATTCTCAAATTCTAAAATTCTTAAATTCCAAAATTCTCAAATTCCAAAATTCTCAAATTCCAAAATTCTCAAATTCCAAAATTCTCAAATTCCAAAATTCTCAAATTCCGAAGTTCTCAAATTCCAAAATTCTCGAATTCCAAAATTCTCAAGTTCCAAAAATCTCAAATTCCAAAATTCTCAAATTCCAAAATTCTTAAATTCCGAAATTCTCAAATTCCAAAATTCTCGAATTCCAAAATTCTCAAGTTCCAAAAATCTCAAATTCCAAAATTCTCAAATTCCAAAATTCTCAAATTCCAAAATTCTCAAATTCCAAAATTCTCAAATTCCAAAATTCTCAAATTCCAAAATTCTCAAATTCCAAAATTCTCAAATTCCAAAATTCTCAAATTCCAAAATTCTCAAATTCCAAAATTCTCAAATTCCAAAATTCTCAAATTCCAAAATTCTCAAATTCCAAAATTCTCAAATTCCAAAATTCTCAAATTCCGAAGTTCTCAAATTCCAAAATTCTCGAATTCCAAAATTCTCAAGTTCCAAAAATCTCAAATTCCAAAATTCTCAAAATTTAAAAATTTCTAAAATTCTCTCTAATATTGTCAATAAAACAAGAACGATAATAAATAATAATAACTTAAACCTAAACGTGAGGGTTTACTTGACTAATGCGGTGTCCCATTCGAGTGCTACGATCTGCCATTTTCTACTGTTCCTTTGACCGCTAGAAAATACCACGTGTCTCAGAAAACCGACCTAGCAGACAATACAAGGCCTGGCCATCACACCCTTCGATGTAAATTTATTATCTTAACAGCTACATTGAGTGAACTATTTTTTATCGATACTTTATGCGTTCTGATAAATTATTAAATTCAAGTATTTATTTAAATTATTATTGGGCCAATAATCATAGCAGTCGAGGCCCATATAAAATCAATCAATCAATTAAATTATTAATAATTGAATTAATTCAAGATAAGTTATTAATTTAAGTATTATAAATGCATTGTTATATGTATTGTAAATAGCTCAACAAAATTTTGTCTCCAATCTTACATTCTAAAAAGTTTATCGCGTAAAAAGAATTCGCTTTTAAACTAAAAAATTTTAATTTAAGAGGTCGCTTTCGGCTCACGTACCGAAAATGGAAATGTGTTTTCCTTTGAGCGAAATTAGCGTTGACACGTGACAAAATTTGTAGATATTCGTATGTTAATGGTGAATGCAAAAATTTATTAAAGATGTGGCGAAGCGTGTAAAAGTAATCAAAAGTGATGCGTTGGAAAAATGGTAGCGAAACGTGTGGGAAATTTAAAAAGAAAATTGAAATTTCATTTTTATGAAAGTTGACGTTTATTGTAAAATTAAAATATATACGTACCTTTAATATTTAAAAAATTAGTAAAATTTTGTAATTCTAAAGATTTCTAAAATAATCTTTAATATTACTAAAGTTTGGAGAGTTAAATTTAGTTTTGTATTAGGAATGAAAAGTGTTGAATGATTTTTGTAAACAACTTAGTCTTCGAAAGGGAAAACTTTATTGAGATAAAGTAAATAGAATAAATAGAAATAAGCTAAATTAGAAATAGATAAATAACTTACAGATAAATAACTTAATTGATAATATAAAAATAACCTCAATAATAATTTAATAGCTTAATATGAAAATTGATTAAAAATTAGAGAGGTGATACTTGACAATTTGATTTTGTTATCTTATCTCATAATACGGCATTGTGTTCCATATCGATTGTAATGATTATACGGCTTAAATGTAATAAGAATCATTATCGTAGAATAATAAAACTTTAACAAAAATAAAAATTATCAATATTATAAATCTCATAATAAATTCTTTGTTTGAGTTATTGTTTAACTGGAAAATAAATGATTGTAGAAAATCAACAAATAAATGAAAAGTTAATTCGTTTAAATTAATTTAAAGTAGTTAAAATTATTAAAAAACTTAATTCAAATTTATTTAATATTATTGGAAAACTAAATTTAAAGTTACTTAAAATTATTGAAAAACTAAATTTAAATTTATTTAAAATTATTGAAAAACTGAATTTGAATTTATTTTAAATTATTTAGAAAACTAATTCAAATTAATTAAAATTATTTAAATTACATTTATTTCGTAATTCATTTATTACTTAATCAAACCTAACCTAACCTAACCTAACCTAATATTTTAATTTATTTAATATTGCAATTTTTTATTGGGTCATAAAAGAATACTTTCTAAAATAATAACAACTTTTATTAAAAATTATAATTTTTTTAATTAATAATCGATACAAAATGATTACAAACAAAAAATGTTTTCATTCGAAGAACGTAAAGCACAAAAATTATATAATATTCCACTTTAAATCTTATTAAATCTGAGAAAATACATTCTAAAACTATCGTGACTAATATTTGTACGAGTATTTGCATGTTTTTCTACTGAAATTTATCATTGCTACAAAATTTCATTACCAACTTATCACCACGTCAACGCGCAGATTAATACTTAAAGTTTGCATGCAGATGCCAAAAATGTGAAAGTAATCACAGTGATTATATAATTCATGATAAATTATAACTGCACAGCGTATCTGATTTGCTGTTTCTCATCACTCACGATAAAAAATTATGGTGATTAAATTAATGGTAACATATTTAACCTACATTGCTTAGCACACAATAAAAAATGACTAAATTTTCAAATTGCATTATTTAGCTTGGAGTCGATCAATCTTTCCCTGAGTACATTATTTTTATCGTAATAATAATTTCTCTTTTAAATCACTTCTTTTATTTTCATATTTAAATTCATTTTTTTAAATATTTTAAGTATTCTTTGTTGAAACGAGTATGTATACTTAATTTTATTTAATTAAAATCTCACCTAATTGTACATTTTATTATAAATATACTTAGTATTGTAAAACAGAAAAAAATTTTGGGACCTCACGTCCTAACTCATAGGTTGACATCTGCATGTAATTACTAAAAAATTTCTAAATTATACTTTGACTACATTTTTATATTATTTTATTTTTGTCAAGAACAGAAGCTGTCGCATTACAAAAATATTTATCTAACAATAAATGAATACAAATATCTCTATTTTAACAATAAATAAATAAACACAAATATCTTTAAATTGAAATAACTAAAATTCCAGTACTAGAAATGTATATTTAATAGTTACATAAAATTTCAAAGATATTAAAATATCTTTAAACGTACATTAAGTGAAATTTCAAAATTGTATTTGCAATCCTATCATTAATAATTTGTAATTACTTTGTTGCAGAGGCCGTAGCTTACGAATTCGGAGCCGGAAGAGGAATCATCACGTACACCTTTCCACCAGATCAAAGACCGGAAATGAAAAAGGATAGAGTGGCCCTAGGATTTGTTACTAGTGTGAAGGATGCAGTACTTCTCAGAATAGAGTCTGCTTCGAGCAACGATTATCTCGAAATTAAAATTGTTAGTAACGAAACGAATTATCTGAATTATGTAACGAAATTAAAAATGATCCTCTAAGAAATTGTGAAAACATTGCGAAATAGAAAGTTCTGTTAACTTATTATGTTGTGCGAAGTAACTTTGTCAAATCAACAAAACAATAAATTATTTACATTTCACTTTAAAATACATCACGTATTATAAAATATATACTGTGCAAATACAATTGTTGAAATTTAAAAATAATTTTTCGAAACGTGAGGATCTTTTTTAATTTATGTGTCTTTGTTTAATAATTAGATTAATTAAATACGATTTATCGACGTGGAAAAATATATTTGTTTATGTTAATTAAGCAGAGATTACTTGAGATGAATTTGGATTATATAAGTGAAATTCCAAGTCTTAAATATATTATTTATGTTAATGAAGAATGACTAGGTATGAGTAATTTATAATCAGAGTTTATTGTGTAAATTTAATGTTTATTAAATGTTAAGACATTTTATGCGTTTCACTAGTATAATTAATAACGGAATTATTTAATGCGTAAAATTGAAGATATAAAATGACTCGATATATTTCAATTATTACACAATATATTCCATTTAATTCGAACGTTTAAATCATGTTCGGCTGTTAAAATGATTGATGGATTTGTATGAATTATTTGGTGTAAATCAATATAAAGTGAATTATAAATGAAATGATTGATTGAAACGACGCTCACAAAGACTAGAACGAATTTTTTATTGTCATGTACAGCTTAAAATCATAGAAGTGTTCATGAGTCACTTTTTCCATTTTCAATGACAGTAAACACAATTTACTTAAGTGAAATATTTTGTAAAATAACGTTACAGCAAGTTATTAATAACACTTTATTTTATATTCTGTATTTACATATTGTTAAATACTTCTAATATTTACAATAGAAATTGCTGTTAATTACTATCTACCTCTAAGCAAAAAAAAATGAGTCAAACTGTATTAATTATTCAATACTGAAACATGGTTTTGAGATCCTCTGTTAGTAAGAATGACAGAAAATGTAAAATTGTATAAATTTCTGTAGTATTTCATAAAAGAAATGTATACTCTCAAGCATCATAGACTCTCCAAAGATATATGGCGAAGATCTATAATATCCTCTGTCTATAATATTCCAAAGTTACCTTAAAGATTCTATTATACTTCATTCACACTTGACGAGTACATGTTTCGCGATTAATTAATTTAAAAGAAAAATTGTCACAGTCTTCTACTGTTGATGTAAACAGAATTTTATTACTTAATGTTGTTCAAGTTAATGTAATTGAAGGTTGCATAAACATTCATGATGTCAAGAGCCAAGTTTTCTGAAGTAAATACTTATAAGTAAACTGAACTTTACTGAAGTAAATACTTCTTGCTAGAATATCTAGATTAGATTTGTCTTAGACTCTTCCCAAATTTTTCTTGGACTCTGCATAGGTCATTGTTATTAGCTTAGACTCTTTTTATAGAAAAATACTTCTTTAAATTTTATTAGGAATCTTTAGAAATTAATTACAATTTTCTAAATTTTTTTTGAAAAGCCACTAGGATAAATCTTTCTTAGAATCTCTATAAGATCTCCGTATGTTTCTCTTAGATTCTCCCTAGTTTTTCTCTGGGTTTTTCTAAAATTTTTTTCTGGAATCTCTCTCATAGATGACTCTATGATCAAAAAGGGGTTATTACATCCCCTGTAGAAATATCTATGTTACCCTTAGATTTTTCGTACAATTTCTCTAAGTAGTCTCTAGATCTTTTTATTGTTACAACGTTATTAAACTGTATCTAATTCCTCTCTAGATATTTTAAGCTCTACACAGATGTTTCCTAGTCTACCCTCGAATTTTCTCAAAACCAAAGACAACTTGTAAAGGACTTCTTCCTGTACACTCATACCGATACAAAGAAAACTGTTATGCTTAAATAAACTAAAATGTCACATAAACGAGAAATGACAATAACAGTTCACAGAATATAAAGAAAAGCTTTCTTCCACATCATCGCCATTTTGCCTGGAAAAGTCTATCATACTCGATAGTGTACAAATATATCATCAAATACGTAATTCATCAAAAATTATAAATTTATTACTCTTAAACTTGATCGATATTTATGTTACAAACCTTTATATTTACAAAATATTCACTTACATTTATATTATAAAGAATATTTAGAATAACAAATTTTCAATTTAGATCGAAGTAAATTAATGAAAATTGCAGTAAAATATGAAAATGGAGTAAGAAATAATACTGCAAGAAGTTTCACTTCCATCTAAATGAATTTAACTATAAATTGAGTCATTATGAAATGAGTTTTAATATTGGAGCTTCTAGTTTAAGGAAGGAAATATCTATATCGCTTATCTTAGAAAATGTCTTACGTAATCTTAAAATTCTCACGCAACGTTACTCAATTCTTCAAATAAGAAAATTCTGAATCATATCAGGGATTTCCTATTACACTTGGAATTTCACACTCCGTTAAAAATCATTTTCCAACAAAACCGTAAATAATTTACGTTCACTGTTGTAATAAAATATCACCGAAAATGTTGCAGGTGGAGGGAAACGTTTTCGCTGTCTATAATATGGGAACAAACAATCATCCCATAGGCGAGGACGGTGTGAAAGTGAACGATAATCAATATCACGTTGTCAGGTTTACTAGAACAGGACCAAACAGCACTCTACAGGTCGACGATTACAACTTGCAGTCCAATCATCCGTCCGGTAAGTGATAATTCTTCCTTTACGTGTTATTAGCAACAACATCGGAAACAGCGATTGAATATCGCAATGAACAGTGAATCATCGTGCTTTCACACGCTAATTTGAAGATTAATCCTGAACTGAACGATCATAATTCATAAGCCAATGCCGGAATTGCCTATTATCAACTCTCGAGTCAACAAGCACGCGTTACATCCAATTAACTCGTACTTTCGCTTTGAAACGAGTAATGAAATTTAAATGTACAAGAAATTTTTGGTCGGAGAAATGTTAATTTAGGAATTGTCAATTTTTAGTATTCATTAGATTATTGATATTCGCGGTGGTATTTTTTGGATATAATTCAGTGAGATTACGTGTATTAATATTTTTATATTAGTATATTTAAACTTGTTTGTTGTAATATTTTTAGTATGTTAGTATATTTAACACTAAAACTACCAAAACCAGTCAAATGACCGTTCCACAAGTTTCTTATTATAAAATACACATTTTGTTTATTCTTTGAAATCATAATTGATTTTCATCAAGAAAAAGAATAAATGTGTGTACTAATTTATGTTTCGTTGTCTATTTATTTATTTTTTAACTGCATTTTTAATTTCAAATTAAGTGCACATTATATGCCGGTAGGTTTAGTGTTAAACGTTAGTTTGTTTTTATAACAATTTTTATTTGTCAAGTCAGTATTAAAATATTGTCGAGTATTTAAAATTTTGTTCGAGTGTTTAATTGAAATTCACTCTTAATATTTTCTTTATTGTGTTAAAAATCGATGTGAAATAGTTAACATTTTAAATAACAAAAAATATACTAAATGATATATTTTTTATAAAAATTTGATATAAGAAATTGACTATTTTTGATATTATAGAATATAATTAATTAAAAAAGGAAATGGAGTATCTCTGATATAACGGAATATAATCAATTTTAAAAAATGCTGTATTTTTGATATGATAAAATATGGTCAATTAAATTAAAATAACAAAATTTTCAATTATGAAAATAACAAAAAGAGAGAGTATTTATTTTAAACATAATAAAGCACTGGTTTTTATCTGACAAGTTTGCAGGAATTTAAAATTTATGCAACACGTGAAATTGAATTAAAATATTTATTAAAACAGTTTTACACCAAGCTTACTTTACAACACTAGAACTAAAGTCTCGTTTCATAAATCAGTAATTAATTCGAAGTGTTATATAATTCATTTTTTAAATTCGTCCCACAATATGTAATAGAAGATCACTATTTTTCAAATAAAAACAGTATTCACATAAAATAAAACAAGGTATCCATGTTTTCAATTCTTAATCTTATAAACTTTTCTCACGAAACTTCTGCACGAAACTGTAATTAATTTTGCAACTTTTGCGTCACTATCAATCATTTTTAACTGAAGGAAACACCGTATCTGATTCCGCGATTCAAAGAATGTCACGAAGTATATTTTAGAGACAATTTTTAAGATCACTTATCTTAAAAAAGAAAACACTAAAAGTGTAGTAAATTGTTTTGTATACAATGATGTAAATAAATACACTAGACTTTACTGAACACGTAAATTAATTCATTATGATTTACTAAATAAGTAAATAGGTTCGCTAAAATTTACTGAATATTATAAGTTCACTAGAATTTATTAAACAAGTAAATAAGGTTACTATAATTGACTGAACAAGTTCACTAAAATTTGCTGAACTACATAACTTTATTAGAATTTGTTAAACAAGTAAATAAGGTCACTATAATTTACTGAACAAGTAAACGAATTCGCTAAAATTTACAAAACAGCATAAGTTCACTAGAATTTATTAAACAAGTAAATGAGGTCACTATAATTTACTGAACTAGTAAATAAGTTCGCTAAAATTTGCTGAGCAACATAAATTTACTAGAATTTATTAAACTAAACAAGTCCACCAGAATGTATTAAACAACAAAATTAGTTCACTAAAATTAATTAAACAACATAACTTCGCTAAAATTTATTAAACAAGTATATAAATTCACTAAAATTTATTAAACGACTATTATAAATTTGTTAAACAACAAATTCACTAAAATCAATTTTTACAAAGGAGATAATTTTATTCGATCACAAAACATAATTTAAAAATATAAAAACGAAAGAAGCAACGTTTACAGAACGGTTGCAGCAGAGCGACTGAAGAGAGCAGGGTTCTGGGTCTTATTTATAGGTTTCCGCCGTATAATGGGCCCCATGACCATGAGAAACAGCTGCCAGTGGTATGGTGAAACCCATACAGCGATCCCACGTGTTCTCGGTGTCTTCGTTCTCTGTTGGCGTGGCATGGGTCAGCATTGTACTCGTGGGAAATTGATTACAAACCGTGGGAACGATCATTATGCTTTGAACAATTATTCAAATGCTAAGACATTAGATGTTGAGACATAATGAGTAACATAATCGATACACGAAAATGGGGACACGATAAAAGATGTATAGAAATTAAAATATATTAAACGATGTGAACACGATGTAAATAAACGAAACGAAAATTAAGACGTAATGAATGATGTACAATATAAAAATTAAAATATAGAGAAGGACGCATAAGAATTAAAATACTATAAATGACGCATATAAATTAAGATATGATGGATCACATAGTTAATTATTCAAATTCTACTTGTCTCAAGGTATAAAGGTACTTAAAGTGTTTGGATTTGGGGATTTAAGGATTTTGAGATTTATGGATTTGGGAATATGGAGACTTTGGGATGTAGGGATTTGGGAATATGGAGACTTTGGGATGTAGGGATTTGGGAATATGGAGGTTTGGGGATATGGAGACTTTGGGATATAGGGATTTAGGAATATAAAAGTTTGAGGATATGGAGACTTTGGGATATAGGGATTTGGGGATCTAGGAATTAGGAGGTATAGAAAATTAGGGATATAGGAATTTGAGGATGTATGATATTGGTCAATTAGAAATTTAGAAATTCATGAATTCGAAGATTTAGAAATTGGGAAATTTGGGAATTTAGGTGATAGGAAATTAGAGAATTTGAGAAATTGAGAAATTGGAAAATTGGGAAATTGGGAAATTGGGAAATTGGGAAATTGGGAAATTTAAAAACTTGGAAATTTAAGAACTTGGAAATTTGAGAGCTTGGAAATTTAAGAACTTGGAAACTTGAAAATTTGGAAATTTGAGAACTTGGAAATTTGAGAACTTGGAAAATTAAAAATATAGAAATTTGAGAACTTGGAAACTTGAAAATTTGGAAATTTGAGAATTTGGAAACTTGAAAATTTGGAAATTTGAGAATTTGAGAATTTGAGAATCTGAGAATTTAAAAATTTCAAAAGTTGACAACTTGATACTTTGAGTTAAAAAAATGAAAACTTAAAAATTTAGAAATCCCTAAACTTGAAAATATGAAAACTTCTAAAGTTCAATTTTCCTACATATAAATTAATTATTACTAACTTAATTCCTTCTAAATTAATAGACACCTTGCTTCCGCGAGTTTTAATTTCAGGGAAAAATACAAATAGTACAAAGTATATAAATATCGAGAACTTCGAAATACTTCGATATCTTGATTTTGTTGTTCATAAAAGGAAAATACATCACAGAAGAAATACGTGCGGTAGATCATTGAAAAGATACTTTCCTGTGAGAAGCGACTAAAGGAGAGGTGAGCCCTTAAGGTCAGAGTTAAAGGCACTTTTGAAAAGTACCTCTGTGATTTTCCTGTTGTCCTGCTTCCAGGCACACCATAATAAGCTTTCACTTTTCTTCTGACGTGAACCTACAAGGTTTGTGTGAAATTCTTATCTGTATGCTTTACTCCTGACTATATTGACCATCTTTAATAAATAATACAGCGCAATGAAACGTTTTAATTAAAAATTATTGAAGAGAATATGTATTTTACAAATTAACAGTTATCTGTATGTTTGAAAAAAAAATATTTACAAAATTTATTAATATTTGTATCTTAAATTTCTATTTACGAGAATATTACTATTTAATAAAACACTAGTATAATAGAATTAATTTTTATTTTATAACATTATACAAAGTATTCAATAAAAATCATTTATGTGCGCTAAATTAATATTTAAAAATATAATAAAATTCTTTTATGAATATTACAACTACTTTTCGTGTATTATTTATTAAATATTATATTATTTATACAACATATTGTAAAATATAATCCCCCATTATTCTCAAATTTTACATCAAATAAAAATTATACTTATATCAACTCTTTTCAATAATCTGATACATAATCAAAAATCTAAAAATTGTTAAATATTATTTGACAAGAATAATTTATCTATCAATTTTAAATAAATAAAATTACACCTGATGGAATATTTATTACATAAAAAGTTAATATAATTTTAAGTAATTTTATAAACTCTGAAATCTAAATTGAGATTAGACTCTGTTATTATTAATAAAAAATTTGAAATTATGCATTAAATGTAAATTATTAAAATTAAAATATATAGTAGTTATATAATTTTATAAACTCTGAAATCTAAACTGAGATTAAATACTCTGTTACTATTAATCAAAAATTTATAATTATTTATTAAATGTAAATCATTAAAATTACAATATGTAGCAGTTATATAAATCAGAAGAGCCTGTAAATCAATGTAATAGTCCACGTTGTGATTAAAAAATGACTAAAAATGATTGATTTAAATTTAATTTTTGTCAGAAATTAATTTTGTTTGAAAATTTGACACAATTAGAAGGATAAGAATTAGAAGTTCCAAGTTTGAAAGTTTCTTCAGAAACGCACCTTCGGGTCTTTTCTGCTCCCCTAGCCCTCGAGGGCATGTTAATTGGCTCATGGACATTCAACATGTTCCATAAATCGTGTCACAGAATTTCAAGCGTCCCTGCATTACTAACTAACCTTTTCTAACAGCCTATTCCAACGATCGTCGTAAACGACACTTCTTTTTTATCATTGAACAAGGTTTTTCGTCATCAGTGAA